TGAGGCAAACATACACAGTTTTACATGTTCAATCTAAATTTTCATAGGGATACCAATAGCAAAATTTACAAAATGTGTAATCTGTCATTAATGCTTACAGTGAATGAGCATTGCTCTCCTGAACAACTGAGAAGGAAAAACAGTTAAATGTAAGAAATTTAGACACTGGTAAAACAGAGAATTGACATGTAACTCAAAGTAAAGATTGTCTTGTGTTTTGCGTGCTCTGAGCATCTCCATTGTTCTCATAGGCACTACACCATCCTTTCACTGCACCAAATCCTGAAGATATGAATGATCTACCATCAGCTCGAGCCTTGGCTTATGACATGATTTACAATGGAGTGGAGGTACTTTCACTGCATCAAGTTTCTTGCTACCTTGTTCAGTACATACTAGTTCAGAAAAGGGTCCAAGATTGCACATGCTCTTTTACATGATTTATATAGTAGAAAATTTAGCACATATTCTCCTTGATGCAAAATCTTGTGTAAGCATTGAAGCACAAGTCTTAATAAAGTCTTGGGGTTGAGGTATTGTAATGCATGTGGACTGTATCCATACATGGCACATGCTCTTCAACATTTATTGAAGACATTCTTCTAGTTTAAATATGGATTATGATAACATTATAGCCCTTTCTACAAGTCTATCTGTATTTGTTCATTGGAATGTGATTTAAAATCTCAGATGCTAAATACTCATCTCAAATTGACCATGACAGATAGATGTGATTAATTCGTAAGACTGGTTGGCTGGTTTCTTTTGAGTTTAGACCCTTTTTCTGTAATAATAGCCAATGAAACAAGGTGTGCAGACTGCAGAGTCTGATCTGATACATCAATAAAAGTTGTGTATCTTTATATGTACTGGAATTCATGTAAAGATCTATGTAGAAAATCATAACATGCATCTTTTTTGTTCTGCATGCTATAAATATAGATTGGAGGAGGCAGTTTGAGGATATACAAAAGTGATGTACAACAAAGGATTTTTGAGATCATCGGTATCTCACCCGAGCAGGTATTATATTTGACACTTCATACTATTGAGAGTACCATGCTTTCAATTTTCAATTTGTAGATTGATCGATAATTTTTTTAAAAGTAATTAATGTTATGCTGAGATGAAATAAGAGCATTAGGCCATATGTGCATGCTTTTTATTCACTGGACATGGAATGGCATAATTGTGAAGAAATACCTCCAGATTTAGATTGTCTGAGACTGTAGTCTTGTTTTGTGTGGCAAAGGTGCATGCTGTCATTCATAAGCCAGTGTTTTTATCTATAGCTCAATTCAAGCATGCCTTAATATTCAAGGTAAATGATCATAAATTATGCTGGATGCATCTAGAAAGGTTCAATGTTGAGTGTCAAGACTAGAGAGTAAAGAAACATCAAATGCAGTGATATAGTATCTGGCAGTTAATGACCATAATATCCTACTGTGATTCGTTAAAAAAAATCCTACTGTGAGTTTTGAGTACCTGATGTCACTTATTTTCATTATTAGGAGACATTTGGATGCAGGAATTATGTAAAAAATACCAGTATTTATCCGTTCTATTCAAACTTGTTAATATAGAAAACATGCTGTACCTTTTGCATTTTGCTGAGCTCTAAAATACCGAAATTGCAATGCAGGCAGAGGAAAAATTTGGCTATCTTTTAGAATGTTTTGACATGGGTGCTCCTCCTCATGGTATGCTATGTTCAACCACTGAACTCCATGTACATATTTTTGGATTAGATTTGAGATTTTGGATCGCATACTGAACTTTCTATTACTACTATATGCTTGTATGTTTCATTAAGACAGTATTTTTCCACAAACAAGAGCAATCTTTCAAATCAATCCTACTTCTTGTTATAACCACACCATCAGATTTTGGACAGCATATTGATTCTAAGATGCTTTAATAAATGCAAGCGTTAGTGATATGCTTCTTGCATATTCAAGAAAAAAAAACGTCAGCGTTTATGCTTGTACCTGCGTATTGCCATGTACTCATGTGTTATAGTATGTCTAGTTCCATTCTGCTTTTAGTTTTGGAATGTTGAGCTCAAATTCCACCTAATTTTTATACCATGGCAGGAGGAATTGCCTATGGGTTAGATCGTTTGGTGATGCTTTTGGCTGGTGAAAATTCAATCCGGGATGTGATTGCTTTCCCAAAGACTACAACTGCTCAATGTTCACTCACCAAAGCGCCATCTCCTGTAGATCCACAGCAATTGAAGGATCTTGGCTTCCGTACGTGAAGTGAGTGCACTGCTTGTAACAAGGTTTGAGTTATATAGGAACATCCATTGTCTACACCGGGCACCCAACCTGTCACAGCACATTCACCTTTTGCGAATGTGCTTCTGCTCTTGAGAAATTTTGACCATGGATAGGCTGGTTGTCCATCTCATGAATCCAATAAAAAGTTTAAAGCAGATCAATCTCTTCGTGACTATTGTCGGATAGCTTGTCAAGTGCCCAAGCTATTTGGCTGTTGAGTTACGCTGATAAACAGTAGAAAAATTTGTATGAGGCAATTAGAAATAATTTGAGTAAAAAAAAGTCGTACATGTTGTTCGTGGTTTATAAAGCCTAGTCCTCAACGTTTTCGTTGGCAAGAAACCAGCAATTCAAGCTTAGGCTGTGTTTAGATCCAAAGTTTGGATCCAAACTTCAATCCTTTTCCATCACATCAACCTGTTATACACACACAATTTTTTAGTCACATCATCTCCAATTTTAATTAAAATCTAAACTTTACGCTGAACTAAACACAGCTTTAGGGTGTGTTTGAGAAGAATGGGATTGAGTAGATTGAGAAGATACGTAAAACGAGGTGAGCCATTAGCTCATGATTAATTAAGTATTAATTATTTTAAATTTTAAAAATAGATTAATATGATTTTTTAAAGCAACTTTTCTATAAAAATTTTTTACAAAAAAATGCACCGTTTAGTAGTTTGGAAAGCGTGTGTGCGAAAAACGAAGTGCTTTCTCCCTCAATGTCCTCCGAACGAACGCTGCCTTAGAGTAGTTATAGGTCATGGACGCCTGACGGATGACGACTGACATGAAGATGGTAAGTTGGACTATTTAGAATTTTAGATCGATATGTTTAGGATAAGTTGAGCTTTTGTGATGCATTGCTCGTGTGTGTCCATGCATGATGCATCCCTAGCTACAAGGAGTATCGTCTTTTATTTTGCTTTTATACCTTTAGACTTCAGTATACTACTACTCAAGTACTTCGTATCTACTACCCAACTTCGATCGGGCATGGTCGGTAACTCGGTATATGCTCCTGTATGCTGTATGGCTGTATTGATGGATGATGGTTCAGCTCGAAGGTGTATTTGTAGCGAACTAGTATGTGTGCAGTTCCAGGCGCTTAACTAGTTTGGTGTTTGCCTCGGTTGCATCTGATTACCGACCAATTTTCCAAAAAAAATTTAGAGCCGTAAAAAATCTTTTGCTTCCGCTCAGAGGTTGCTTGACAGCAAAATAAAAATCGTCATGCGTTCAGTTCGTGCGCTCATCACGCACTAACGCTGCTGTATGCATTGCTACCTACGCACTGTAATAAATCTGTAATGACACAAGTACTATCTGCGTCTGTAATCTGCACGCTGTACGACGCCCTCTCGCATCACCTCATCTCAAAACCCACTACCGCACGCAGAAGGCGAAGAAACTTTATACTATGGCCCTGTTTAAATCTCACCTGAAATTTTTCACCTTATCACATCGAATATTTGGATAGATACATCGAGTATTAAATATGGACGAAAAAAATCAATTACACAGTTTACGTGTAAATTGAGAGACAAATCTTTTAAGTTTAATTGCGCCATGATTTTACAACGTGGTGTTACAATAAACATTTACTAATGACGGATTAATTATGCTTAATAAATTCGTCAAGCAGTTTACAGGCGGATTATGTAATTTGTTTTGTTATTATACTACGTTTAATATTTCAAATGTGTGTCTGTGTATCCGATGGGACACGCTAAAACTTTACTTCCCTGGATCTAAAGTCTAAACACCCCCTATGTTTTGGCTTAGAGCAGCTAAATTTGGCTATTTTAACCAAAAAAAATCCACTCCAACAACCTCTCTATTAGGATGGCTAAGCTAAATGATTAGCCAAACTCATCCCCTCAATGGCCAAATTTGGTTAGCCCAACCTGCCTTGCCATTGGTGGATCCCACGCTGAAGAGGCTTTTCCCTCCCGCAATAGCACTACCCGCGTCGGTTGAGAGCAGTGAAGGAGGAGGATGCGGCGGTGGGGCAGCACGACGGCGAGCGCACCCGCGGCCTCCTGCTCGTCGGCCGCCGGCGTCAAGGAATGGAGAGAGAAGCGTGTTTCCGCCACCGCCTCAGTTCCCGGCCACATCCGTCGGCATCTTCTTCCTTCTCGGCAAGGAGTGGATCCGCTATCTCCGTTGCCTCGCGCGAACGAATTCGCCGTCGCCGGCTTCTCCCTTCTCGCCGCCGCCACCGCTGTTGACTCGCACACACGAATCGGCCGAGGCGGAGACGGAGGAGGACAAGGACATAGGGGAGGAGGGGCGAGGCGTGGAGGGGACCGGGGACGGGAAAAGGGGGAGAAAACGAGGAAGAAGAAAAAGTTGAGGCTGACATGCGGATCCTACTGTCATGCACTCAGGTGGTGTTTAGATCCAGGACTTAACTTTAGTCCCTGTCTTTAGACACTAATTTAGAGTATTAAATATAAACTACTTACAAAACTAATTACATAAATAAAAGCTAATTCACGAGACAAATTTTTTAAGCCTAATTAATCTATAATTAGAGAATATTTACTGTAGCATCACATAGGCTAATCATGGATTAATTAGGCTCATTAGATTCGTCTCGCAAATTAGTCCAAGATTATGGATGGGTTTTATTAATAGTCTACGTTTAATATTTATAATTAATTTTCAAACATCCGATGTGATAGGGACTTAAAAGTTTTAGTCCCATCTAAACAGGGCTCAGAATAGAAATCAGAATAGAAAGGATGAATGGAGAGACTATTGGAGTAAATAACAAATTTGAATTGCTAATTAAATGGAGATTTGGCTAAATAGACGGTTGGAGAGTGATTTGGAGAGGCTGTCTGGAGATGCTCTTAAGCTCGAAGAGGCGCTGCCCCTCGTGCATCGCCGACCCCCGACCATAAGTATCACGAGCAGGCGGCCGCCGCCGAGACATGTGCTGCTCAGTCGCTCAGAGCCTCAGATCACCCACCCGCTTGCTGAAGCGCTAGTACTAGTGTACTACCAGTAGTAGTGTAGGCGGAGAAAAGCAGTTGGCAAAGCTCGCGCAATGGCAGCCTCCACCACCGCGCTGAGCATGAAGCTGCTCGTCGACACCAATGCCCAGCGAGTGCTGTTCGCGGAGGCGAGCAAGGATGTCGTCGACTTCCTCTTCTCCCTCCTGGCGCTGCCGGTCGGCACGGCCGTCAAGCTGCTCGGGAAGGACTCCATGGTCGGCTGCGTCGGCAACCTCTACGCCAGCGTCGAGAAGCTCGACGGCACCTACGTCCAGCCCGGCGCCTCCAAGAACGCGCTGCTCAGCCCCGTCGTGCTCTCGCCGGCGGCCAGCTCCAACACCTCCGTCCTCCGCTTGCCGGCCCCGTCTTCTTCGCAGCCCAAGAGCTTCTTCAGCTGCCGCTCCTACGACTGTTTCTACTACGTGACGGACGTGAGCGGCGTCAAGTGTCCGTCCTGCGGCAACCAGATGACAACGGCATGCACGTATGCCGCACCAACCGCTGCCCAGAAGCTGCAGGCCGCTGCAGCCGAAGGGGCGGGGAAGGGGTTCGTGCAGGGCATCGTGACGTACACGGTGATGGACGACCTCACCGTGTCGCCCATGTCGTCCATCTCCAGCATCACGCTGCTCAACACGTTCGCCGTCAAGGACCTGGGCGCGCTCAAGGAGCAGACCGTGCAGCTCGGCTACACTGAGGTGATAAACTAAATTATCTACTAATCATCATTCATCAGTCAACACTCACCACTCCTCTTCTCTTTCTCTGTTTTATATTAGTGCTTTGCATGTACACGTTGCCATGTCCGTGATGCTGCATATATGTTGTGTTTGTGTTTTGTAGGGCCTGGCGATCCTGAGGGCCTCGCTGCAGTCCAAGACCGTTCTCAGCGACGTTTTCCTTGCCAGGAGGCCTGCAAAGCAAGCCTGAATTCTACTACTACTTCAACAACGCTGGTCGCTGGCGATGTCAAAATGCAAGCCATCTCGATCGATAAGTAGTTAACTATACGACTGTATTGGTCTTTAGTGATGCCTGTAAATTAATGCGTACTACTAGTAGTATCTTGTGCCGTCGTGCACTCGTGCGCGCCCCAGATCTTTTGCTAGCTAGTAGCTGAAGTGCAGCATGATGAAGGTTAAGCCTGAAGCAATTTGGGATGTTCAAGCAATACCCGTATAGTAGTGTGCGTAGAAGTCCCCCTTAATCTGTGTGAATCAGGACTCTCCGCTGGTAAGAATCACCATGTGTACTACTGTACTGCTGTTTCTAATGCTACCGCTGTTTCTAATGTGCTTGACTGTTCTTGATTTGCTTGCCTCTGAAACTCTCAATTTGATCCGGTGTTGTCCGGTTTTCCTTTGCTTTTTGGACTGGACCGGTCGAGGCTTGCATCTCTTTTGCTCGAGCAATCTATGAACTCTCCTCTTGCTGTTGTCTTTCGCCGTTCCTGTCTGGTTCAGTTCAAGCAGCAGCAATGCTCAGAAGAACTCGAAATTTCTTTCTCCTTAATGAAGAATTTGGACTGAATTCGAAATAATTTCCACATGAGCATGACGTAGACTACATAAATTTTAAAGGCCTCCTACAAGAACGTCGCAGAAATCAACCAACGCATTATGCTTCTGTTTGGTGGTAAAGTTCTTTCAAAAGTAGGATCTGTTTTTTTGACATTAATCTGAACTGAACTAGACGTCAAAATCATGTGGCATCGGCGGCGCGCTCTTCTCCATCTGGACTGCGGCGGCGGCGTCTTTCTTCTCGCTCGTTGCTCGGGCGTCGACGTTCTTGTCGCCGGATCTATGGTGCTTGTCGCCGGCACGAGCCTTCTTCTTCCTGTTCAGGAAGACATCTGTCAACACGGTCTTGGACTGCAACGATGCCTTCAGAATCTCCAAACCCTGCAAATTCGCATCAAAACAAAGTAAGCCGAGTTTAGTTTCAAACTTTTTCTTTAAATTTCTAATTTTTCTATCACATCAAAACTTTCCTACACACATACTCCCTTCGTCCTTAAAAAAAAAGACAAACCCTGGGTTTGCGTGTCTAACTTTAACTGTCCGTCTTATATGAAATTTTTTTATAATTCGTATTTTTATTGTTGTTAGATGATAAAACATGTCTTTTTAATTTTTTTCATTATTTTTTTAAATAAAACGGACAGTCAAACATTGGGCACGGAAACCAGGGTTCGTCTTTTTTTTTTTTGACGGAGGGAGTAACTTCCAACTTTCCGTCACATCATTCTAATTTCAATCAAACTTTTAATTTTGACGTGAACTAAACACACCCTAAGTAGTAAATTAGTATGGAGAATTCGATGAAGAATTTATCTGGTTAATTTATCACCTCTTGGTAGCCGATCTTGACCGTCTTTTCCTCGAGCGCGGAGAGGTCCTCGACGCCGAGCTTGCTGAGCAGCGCGATGCTGGAGATGCTCGACATGGGCATGAAGGTGAGGTCGTCCATGACGGTGTACGTCACCACGTCCCGCACGAACCCTTTGCCAGTCTGGGCGGCGGCGAGGCAGGTCGAACAGCGGCAGCCCGTGTCCGACGACATCCCCGCGCCGAAGGGCGGGAACGCCGCCTTCAGAGACGGCAGAGACGGGGTCGTCGGCCGGATGGTCGAACACTGGTAGGCCGGGTGGCCCGGCGGCGGCGGCGGAGGAGGAGGAGGAGCAACGTACGGCGCCTGGACGCGCGGGGGCTGGACGAGGGACGGGAAGCCACCGGCGGTGGCGGCGAGGCAGGGGTGCGCCGGCGCCGGGTTCAGCAGCGCGTCGCGCGCCTCCGCGCTCTGCATGTACGCGGCGTCCATCCTCCTCACGCTGGCGTACACGTTCGCGACGCCGCCGAGCGCGTTCTCGCCCGCGAGCAGCTTCACCACGGCGCCGACCGGCATGGCGAGGAGCCCGACGAGGAAGTCGACGACGTCCTTGCCGGCCTCGGCGAAGAGCACGACCTGGGCCTCCTTGGCGATGAGCAGCTTGATGGTCGGCGTCGTCGACGGCGCCGCGTCCGCCGAAGCGCACGACGACGGCACGGCGGCGGCGTTGCCCATGTTGTTGCCTGCTTCAACCAAGCGCCGCGTACGTAAAACCCTCGCAGGATCAGATCGCTTTGTATAGTTGTTAAGTCGAGCAAATTTTCACGGAATATATGGAGCGTGAAACCGATTGGTGCACGATTGCCAACAACCGCGATCTTTCCGTATATTTGATTTTGTAATTTTCCATTATCTCTATGTATAGTTGTATTCTGCATTATTTTAAGGAAAACGATATGATAACCATAGCGAATTCGACGGTAGATATGATAGGCAATTGCTGTGCACGCGGATATTACGAATCTGACGATAAATCTGTAAAACCTAGTATGGTTCTAACCCGGTAATCCGGTGTAAATTTGTTCCGTTCTATGGCTCTATGCGCTTGCGGTTGATAAGATAATGGATATTATTAAATCACTGAGCTATACTCATCAGCTACTACTAGTAAATCTTGTTCCTCTTCCACTCATCCACTGTCCAATCCAATTGCCAAAGCAGCGGCCACTGCGCAACCTCGCGGCGAACTCTTCGATCGTCTCCGCCTTCTCCTCCTCCGAGCGGTGCCTGTCGAGCTCGATCTTCAGAGCCAGAGCCCACCTGATCCCGTAAAGGCCGGCGTAGATAGGGGGCGGCCCATGCCTCCCTCTACCGTGGGCCGTGAGCATGGAGAGCAATGAGGCCCGTAGGCCGACCATCGTTAGGTTAGGTGGGCTGAGACGACTGTGCGTTTGGCTGTTTGGGCCATGTGTCAGTAGTCTGACGCGACACCTTGCTAGGTGGCTGCTCGGCTCGCACATCCCAATTCGTTTGCTCTCCACGAATCCAGGTCACCAGGTTGCTGCGTCGAAGCTACACTCACATGCAACTTGCAAGTCAAACCTGTGGCAAGCTAATGCTGACAACTCTACGTTGTTGTCTTGTTGATAGGCACGTCAGATATATATTTTCTCCGACCTAAAATAACTTAACTAAAAAAGATGAAATATATTTTTTTAAGCAAAAGACGGCAGGAGCTCTGCCGGATATATTAGAAGGAGAAGCAGTTAGAGAGGTCAAGAAAGAGTAGACCACTAGGTGACATTTTCAGTTTTCATTTTCAGAGATTTACATACATAATGCTATCAACTAGAGCTAAGCACAAGCCTTTATGTATGGCGCAAAATCTGAATGGCATCTATATTTTCCTTTACTAAGAAAGCTACTTGGGTGGCACTTAGTTGCTTTTGATGGAAAATTCTTCGATTGCGCTCAAGCCACACCTGCCACCAGGTTATAAGAAGTGCCCCTATCAGTTTTCTTCTTCTCCTTCCATAAGTTGAATGTATGATTGAGGTCCACCATTCTAAAATGTTTGCATCCTGTAGTTGATTTGGGGTCTGCATGATGTCCAGCCAGCTACAAACTTGGGACCAAACCGTGTTAGTGAAACTGCACTCCTTTGCCAAATGGTTTGCGTCCTCAAAAGCATCTGTACATAAGCTGTAAATCCAATCGCATGGCCAATGTCTTAAAAGGAGGTTTTCAGCTGTGAGAATTCTTTGATGTAAAATTAACCAGCCAAAGAACCGATGCTTAGGTTCCGCTTCAGCTCTCCAAAGTGGCATAAAATTTGTGTTGGCAACTGATCCTACAAACTGCATTTCATAAGCGCTTTTTGCAGAGTATTCACCATGATTAGTCCACTTCCACGTGATACTATCCAAAGAATTGGGGTGTAATCTGATCTCATGCAGCTTACTGCCTAGGTGCACCAGCTCATTGATCTCATTTATTGAAGTGATTGTTCTTAAGGAAGTGATCCAGTGATTATTGTGCAGCTCAAAGGCTACGCAGTTTGTTTTCCTCTTTGCTAATCTGAATAATGTCGGCGCTATGTCTTTAGGAGCGTATCCTTGCAGCCAATTGTCTGACCAAAACTTGCATTTCTTTTCGTTTCCCAGGGAAATTTGTGTACTTGCTCTGAAGAGATTTCTGTCCATCTCATCACATGGAATTTCCATATTGATCCAGGGTTTATTTTCCTCTTTCCATTCGTACCAGAGCCATCGAAGTCTTAAAGCCCGAGCGAATTTCTCTAAATTGAGAATTCCAAGCCCGCCCAAAGGTTTGGGCTTGCAGACGACTGTCCAATTCAAAAGACAACTGCCCCCGCTAACGTTTTCAGGATCGTCACCTTTCCAAAGGAAAGCTCGCCTAAGGCGATCGATCCTTTTGTAAAGCCATTTATTTTGCTGGAGAATTGTTAGGTGATAAATTGGGGTAGAGGAAAGAGTGTTTTTAACCAGCACCTCTCTACCTGCCGAAGTGAAGAAGCGACCTTTCCAACCAGGAATTCTCGATCCCACTTTGTCCACCAGAGGTTGAAGCTCTAATTTCCCCAATTTTCTTGTGTGCAAAGGCAGGCCCAAGTACTTACATGGGAAGTTTGAAATTCCACCTGGGAAGATGGAAAGGCAGTTATCTAGGTTGACTCCGTTACAGCTTATCGGGAAGATCTATGTTTTTTCCATGTTTGTGTGAAGTCCACTGGCATCTGCAAAGACAGAAAGAATTCCACGAAGGACTAGCATTTCTTCTCGAATGGGCTTTATAAAAAGACCAACATCATCTACGTAGAGAGAACATCTGAAGCGCCGCTGTCTTTGCAGACTAGAGAGAAGGCCAAGATCCTCTGCTTTCTTGAATAATTTGTGCAGGGGTTCCATTGCAAGGATGAAAAGCATGGGGGAAAGGGGATCGCCCTGCCGAAGACCTCTAGCACGGTCTATTTCCTGACCTGGGATACCATTAAGAAGAACCGCAGAAGAGGAAGTACCTAGTAGGTTGGAAATCCAGTTGCACCATTTATGTCCAAAGCCAAAGATTTGAAGGACCTCTAGCAAGTATGCCCAATTAACTGTGTCGAAAGCCTTCGATATGTCAACTTTGAGGAAAAGAGTAGGCTTTTTTTTCTGAACAAACAGGACATTGTCATGTATTGCTCTTTTCCTAATGAATGCACTTTGACTTTGAGAGACTAGCTCATCTAATTTTGGTGCAAGTCTGTTTGCTAGTAATTTAGCTACTATTTTTGCAAAACTATGCATTAGACTTATTGGCCGGAAATCCTTCGCTTTTGTTGCATCCGCCTTTTTAGGGATGAGGCAGATATGTGCCGAATTGAGTTCTTGCAGTCTTGCACATCCCATATCTCCAAAGAAGGAAACAGCTTGTATGAGATCTGTTTTTATTATGTCCCATGCTTGTTTGAAAAAGGCTCCAATAAATCCATCTGGTCCAGGAGATTTTTCCGAAGGCAAGTCAGAGATTGCATTTTTGAGTTCTTCTTCAGTGAAGTTATCATCGAGATCTGAGAGATCAAGCGTAGGGAGATTGAGAGCAGCCAAGTTTAATCTCTGATTTCTGAGAGCAAAGGCTCCTAATTTTTGTGTGAAGTAACGCTTCAATTCTTCCTGCTTTTGATCTTTAGTTACAGCAAAGCCATCTGGAGTTCGAAGGATCTGTATGTGATTTTTTCTCTTTCTACCATTTGCTTTGATTTGGAAGAATTTAGAGTTAACGTCTCCATGCTTTAACCAAGTGATCCTGGCTCTTTGCCTTAGTCGTATTCTCTCTAAAGCTGCCAGTCCAAGCACCCTTGATTTTAAGAGTTTCCGGAGGCACTGTTCTTCCTCCGATAATACTCTATCCTCTTGAGCAACATCCAGTTGAAAGACTACTTCATTTGCAATTGCCAATTGCAATCTTATATCTCCTATTCTGGTTGATTTCCATCTTCTAAGATCTCTTGCAAGCCTTTTTAATTTTAAATGGAGTCGCACGAAAGGATTGGTAGTCTGTAGTGGCCTATTCCAGGACTCTGCAGTTACTTGCCGGAAATCTGGGAGCTTGAGCCAATAAGATTCAAAGCGGAAGGAATTATTTTGTTCTCTTTCCATACAGCCAGTTATGAATAAAGGGGCATGGTTAGAGCAGGACGAAGAGAGTGCAGACATGTGCGCAGAGTCAAAGAGGACATCCCAATCAGGACAACAGAAAGCACGATCAATTTTTGTTTGGGTTGGGTTAGCACACTCCTGTGTCCAAGTGAATTTTCTCCCTGAAAGGTGAAGTTCTTTTATCCCCAACCTGTCCAGAGTACCTTTGAAACGCTGCATCATTCCCCTGTTTAGCCTACTATTGTTCTTATCTGAGGTTTTGTAGATTAGGTTGAAATCTCCAATTAAAAGCCAAGGAAGGGAAACCATCTGTTCAACTTCCTGGAGTTCAGCAAGGAATTCAATTTTCTGAGCATCTTGTTGTGGCCCATAAACTACAGTTAAGGACCATCTAGCATTATCGTTTTTCATGGTTACTGTTGCTGTGAGGCTAAACTGCTTCTGAACAACATTGGAGAGGCTGAAAAAATTGTCATTGCAGGCAAGCAGAATACCCCCTCTAGTGCCATCAGCAGGGAGATAGGCAAAATCATTTCTGAAACGATTACCCAAAATGTGTAGAACATCAACATCAGTGATTTCATTCATCTTTGTCTCCTGAAGACAGACTATTGTTGCATTCATTTGTTCTACCAAAAGCTTAACACTTCCTTTTCTAGCTTGGTTGTTCAAGCCTCTAACATTCCAGTTTAGAATGAAACAGTCTAGCTGCGACATAAACAAAAGACACAACAGCTGAGGGGGCCTTGTATGCGATGGTTGGGATGGAGCTCAGCTGACGACCTCTGAAACACAGCCAGGAAGATTGGCAGAAACACGAAGAGGTGCGCATTTGCAATACAGAGAACAAGGACAGTATTCTTCTACTTAAGCAGCCTAACATCATCATCACGTAGGGCAACTTTTGACGCGACAACTGCTTCAAATCGGCACCATAGAGGCCGCCTTCTTAGCGCGCAGACGAACTCCTTTGCAGCCTCCGTTTTCCACCAGGGTCGTGATTGTCTTCATGTCTGCTGGGGAGAGCGGCTTCTTGTAATGCTGCAAATAGAGTTTCTTAATTTGATCACTTAAAAGCTTGTTATCATCAAGAACACCAAATTGCTTTGCAAGAATTTCTTGTGCAATTAATTCAAGCTTTGTACTGCGTCTGACTTTCAGTGCCAATCTTGCACTATGCCTTTGAATAGGAGTGGTCACCTTATTGCGGCAGGGTCGACGCAGCTTTGTTCCTGGCGCAGACAGCAGTGGCTGCTGAATGGGCGTGGTCACCTCTGCTAGGAATGTCTCCACATCATGCTGGGCCTCATCCACTAAGTTCTCTTGTGGTTCTGCAGCAGATGAAAGAACAAAAACAGGGGAAGCAGGGCGTGGCAGAGTAGTGTCAGGGGAATAAATTGAACCTCCCACCATAGCCTCATGCAGCATAGGATCTAGGTGCCTTTTAAGCATGAGCAACGCCCCTTGCTCCTGTGACACAGGCAATATGTCAGGTGAGAGAGGTTCGAGAGGAGGAGAAGCAACTGCAGAGCAATGCCCATTTTCAGGGCTGCTATCTCTTGAATGGCTGAAAGGTTTGCAGGGGGAGGAAACCTTGTCTGCTGGAGCAGGGTCAGAGAGATGCGGAGGTGTCGCCGATTGACGCCTGATTCTTGTTTCTCCAGGTTTGACCGACCTGGACAGATGTCGGCTTCTACTTCTATTGATGTCAGCAGCTCGTTCTCTCTGTCTTCCCCTTGTCTCTTGATTGTATGAACTCCGGTTGTCAAGACCAGGCTCTCTGCTTTTGCTTGACGAACGACCGCCTAAGCGGTTCCAAAGAGAGCGACTTCTATGCCTCCTTCTTGAACGCTGCTCGTGGTCGTCTTCATCATCAGACCTTCTCTCCGGCGCCGGAAGGGTTCTGCAGGCTTGAATTGGGTGAGCCATCGACCTCATCCGGGTGACATCATCAGGCACTCCATAGTGCCACATGAAGACCCGACCCTGTCGAGAGAAGAGGTCCTGGACAGTGTCTATGTGAATGATGACCGGATAAGTGAGGCCTTTCTTTGTATCAGTTGGAGCCGGCTGGGATGGCTCCAGGTCAGGAAAAGGGATCTCAGTAGCCCTTGCTTCTCTATCTGGCCTTGTGATTGTGAACTGGGTGGCCTTTGGGATGGTGCTCAAGTCTAAGCTCCAAATCCAAAGATCAAAAGTACGGTTGAAGTTCCGGCGACGGGAGTATTCTTCTATGTAGTGCACTGAGCTTTTGCAGCCTATGAGCTTTGCCGCCATGTCTTCTGATCTTGCATGCATCGGGATACCTTCAATGCAGACTCGGGCGTGGTAGCGAATGTCAACAACTTCAGCATTTCGCCTTTCATTCCAAGGATTGAAATGATACACTCTTCCGCTTCGGGTCACCAATCTTGGTTCTTGCAGAACCTCCTCACGATCGCTATGATTAACGAAAGTGAGGAAGAAATCTTCTGGATGGAATTTTGTGATCTGAATGTCGGAACGATGGATGTAGAAAGCCGAGCGGATGTCATCGGCAAAGGTGCCGATTTCCACCTTCTGGCCCTCATCTGACCAAGCCACCACTGATCTTGCCGTGAAGAGTTGCTTCAATCTTTCATCTCGCTTGTCACCGCCACCATGCAGCTACCAAAATCTGGTCGAGAGACCAGACCACTGGGGACTGAAGCCATGGAGGTCGGGGCAGTGGAGGTGGTGAGGGGGGGGGGGGGGGGGGGGAAGGCTGAGGAGGAGAGCAGTGGTGGTGAAGGTGGGTGCGAAAGAGGTGGTGAAAGCTGCTCTGATTGCTGGAATTTATAGCGACACTCTCTGCAGGCTGAAGAGAGATGGCCGAATCTTTTGCAAACCCAACAACGAAGCGGATCCCTGCAATCTGCCACTTTATGGCCTGGTTGAAGGCAACGATAGCATTTACCTTCTGTGTGTTTGAGAAATCTCAGCTTCCTTGCAGCCATAATCTCTTGGTTGTTGGAGGAATTGAATGGGGATTTCTTCCTCCACCAGAACTTTTGCTTGACTTCCTGCCATGAATGCTCTTGCTGTGCCTGGGAAGGAACGCTGCTTTGGGAATGGAAGGCATGGTTATTGCGCCTTGTCAAATCAACAACCTTACTGCTGCTCAGAACTCTTGAAGTCGGAGGAGGTCGGCCAAGGATTGAGGGATTAAGACGACTTGCAATCGGTAGGCGCCGAGCTACTGGTGGGAATCCATCTTGTCTCACAACACCAGAGTAAAGAGGCCGGGAAGATGCACGATCTTTGGGGGCGGGGGGGGGGGGGGGGAAGAAATCTGCTTGAAGATCTGCTTGGGGATTTTCTGGACTGGATGCAGATTTGAAATCGACTCCGGGAGAGAGCCAGTCTCCTTACCTCGAGCTGTGCCCAAAGAAAGGGCTGGTGGTTGGATGTCAGATCCATGGAGGATCTCTTCTCTATCTTCAGAGGGGATAGGATCTAAGCAGCTTTCTTCAATGAGCTCTCCCTCCTCTAACGGACAGGAGGAGCTTTGAATGGTTGGGAAAAGACCTGGCGAGGAGTGGCTGGTGGGGAAGCATTCAAGAACTGGGGAAGAGATATGGAGTGGAGGATCTACTGGGTGGGAGGAGCGCGGCGCCGGGCGCCGCCGCGGGTGGGTGTCGGGGCTGGGGGAGAAGGCCATCAGTCGAGGAAGCGATTCAATCAGTTGAAATATATTATAGGGAAATTATTTTATATGGTACCTAGGTTTGATATCTAGGTGTATGCATGAAGTTTAAACAGTTATATAAAAATTCATAAGATTTGTTAAGATATATTATAACAATATAAGATATTTACACACATGCATGCAAATCTAAATTCGATCTATACATAAAGAAAAAAAATATTTGTGTGCTATGTGTACTATTCACCGTCTGAATTTATTGTTTCTGTTTTGCTAGATCTAGATGCTTTGCATGTTTGTTTATAGTTTTATATGATCCCAATTGATGTTACTTATTTTTTATTTGTTATAACTATTTAATGGTGGGTGTAAAAAAAATTGTGTCCATATATCATAGTACAAAGAATATTATATTAGGATATATTTCATCCTCCGAATTATATCCTTTCCTCTCTTGATGGGTTATTAATTGATTCTCTCCTGATTTTATTCTATAAATACTCCCTCTATTTTATAAAAAATCAACCAAGTTCTAGATGTGACATATTTTTAATACTGGCTATATTCGGCTGTCATTATTTTCACTGTGGTGCAGCCAACAAACACAGTATATTGTTTCTCGGCTGTGACAGTGCGGCGGTACAAAACAGCCGACCCACTATGAATCTGGATATATCTTTATCCAGATTCGTTGTAAGATTAGATAGACATCGAGCCGATGCGCTCGTGTTCCGTGATTAATCTGATTATATATCGTATTGAGCTATACACGCTTTCAATGCACACTCACCGAAGTCAACGACCTTCGCTGCTTAAAGGCACCGCAAATGCACATACCATTTCCGTCCATTCATCACACACAACCAGACTCCGATCGACCTCGTCTCGTCGAGCGCCAAGTCCGGCTCCGGCGACGCAGCGCCGCCGCCACACGTCGTGGAGGACTTCTTCGGCGTCATCCAGCTCCTCAGCGACGGCTCCGTCGTGCGCGCCGACGACGCCGCCCTCCTCGCCATGCCCGAACTCCAGGACGTCCCCGGCGTTCAGTGGAAGGACGCCGTGTACGACGCCACGCACGGCCTCAGGGTGCGCGTATTCAAGCTGGCCGCCGCCGCCGCCGGTGACGATGGAGGTAAGCTCCCCGTGCTCGTCTACTTCCACGGCGGTGGCTACTGCATCGGCGCCCTCGACCAGTCCCCCTTCCACACCTTCTGCCTCCGCGCCGCCGACGAGCTCCCCGCCGTCGTGCTCTCCGTCCAGTACCGCCTCGCCCCGGAACACCGTCTCCCCACGGCCATCGACGACGGCGCAGCTTTCTTCTCCTGGCTGCGCGGCGCCGGCAGTGCGGATCCATGGCTCGCGGAGTCGGCCGAACTCGCGCGGACGTTCATCTCCGGCGTGTCGGCCGGCGCCAACCTGGCCCACCACGTCGCCGTCCGCGTCGCCTCGGGGCGCCAACCCGTGGTTGACGACGTCGACCCGGTGGTGCGCGTCGCCGGGTACGTCCTCCTCGACGCGTTCTTCGGCGGGGTGGAGCGCACGGCGGCGGAGGCCAACCCACCGGCCGACGTGTCCCTGCTGACCGTCGAGATGGCCGACCAGTTCTGGCGCCTGGCGCTGCCGGCGGGGGCGACCAGGGACCACCCGGTGGCGAACCCGTTCGGCCCGGAGAGCCCCAGCCTGGAGGCGGTGGCGCTGCCGCCGGCGCTCGTCGTGGCGTCCGGCGGCGACGTGCTCTACGACCGCGTGGTGGGCTACGCGGCGAGGTTGAAGGAGATGGGCAAGGCGGTGGAGCTCGTCGAGTTCGAGGGAGCGCAGCATGGCTTCTCGGTGATACAACCATGGAGCCCAGAAACCAGCGAGGTCATCCAAGTCCTGAAGCGATTTGTTCACAAGGCGATACGCCCAGCTGAGGGTTGAAAAGGACAAGGCAAAATTGAGTGGGATACTTTCAATTTCAACATTTGTGTTTTGTTTGGGTTATAAAAGTGTTTGTTAAATATCCATTATCTAAAAATAAAAAATATAAAAGTGTTTGTTTAAGACTACGGTGTGCACGGTTGCCTTGTTCACTTCTCCAAGTTATTTTCTTGTTTGAATGGGGATGGTTTGAACATTTCATCCAATTTCCTTTTTATTGTGCTTATATAGCTGGGTGGACCTCATATCCAGGAATACTTTTTCCGGCAGAAAGTAGCCATTGAATGCCTCTCTGTGTGTAACAGATGTCCTGAATCCTGATAGCATTTTTGTGTATGACTGTATGGTACTAGTTTCATCGTTTGACCTAATAAGTTTTAAAACAATTTATTAATTAGAAAAAAAATTGTCTTTCATATATATGTGCATGTGAAAAATGATAAAAAGCCTCAAAATCTATTCTAAATTCACTTTAAAATTCAAATTTTGATTGCGGCTAATAACCAATAACAAACAATGTGGTTTTAGTATTGTTTAGGACATCCATTTTACATGCGACAATATTTTAGTAATTCGCTACAATTTTCTTTCTTTTTTCGAGACATCTATTTTTTCAAACTGCTAGGTATAAAATCACTTAAATTTGAAGTTTGGATTAGTTATGGCAATGTATGCGATAAGATTAGCTCAAGCCTGTTGGTGTAGCACAGTTACACCCCTTCATAATCCATTAGCTAGATTGAACTTGCGAAACAATAATATGTACACCTTGATGCTTGGTCCATTTGGAACGAAAGGAACAACCGTGTATTCAACAATTGCATACGGTTATGGCCTAAGGTTGTTGGTTTTGTTGCAGCCATGGTGCAAGAAACCACCCTTTGGCGGCATGCCCATCCCTTGTCGCTCACACTCCCTCAGGGTAGTATACTCGGTCGCTAGGTCGTCACATTGTTAGCGAGAGAATAGCCTCAAGTATTTTTTTTAACCAAGGGCACGCGTAGGACACTAGCTTGCTTGTGTGGGTAAGCAGAGTCCAACACCCAGTTATTCAAGAGACATGTAGATCGATCTAGCCTTCAAGCTTGCCTACCTAGGAAGCAGGCTTCAGGCCAATGAAAACGTCAGTCAGGACAGTCTTGGATTGCAGGGAAGCCTTAAGAATCGCCAGACCCTGCAGAGAATCAACAAATACATGCATACCGCCTAAAACCAACTGATATTAAGTTCCAACAATCAAGTAGAGTCATGTGTACGGTTACGAATGTAATCACCTCAGTGTAGCCGAGCTGCACGGTCTTCTCCTTGAGCGCGCCCAAGTCCTTGACCGCGAACCTGTTGAGCAGCGTGATGCTGGAGATGGACGACATGGGCGCCACGGTGAGATCGTCCATCACCGTGTACGTCACGATGCCCTGCACGAACCCTCCTCCTTTCGCCCCTTCGGCGGCGGCGTTCTGCGTGTTCTGATCTTGGCCGCCGGCAACATAGGTGCATGCCGTTGCCATCTGGTTGCCGCAGTTAGGACACTTCGTGCCGCTCGCGTTCGTCACGAAGCTTCTGCAGGCGTTGCTGCTGTAGCTGCATCTGAAGAAGCTCTTGCTTGACTGCGCAGAAGACGGCGCCGGCAAGCGGAGGACGGAGGTGTTGGAGCTGGCCGCCGGCGAGAGCACGACGGGGCTGAGCAGCGAGTCCTTGGCGGTGTCGGCCTGGACGAAGGCGTCGTCGAGCTTCTCGAAACTGGCGTAGAGGTTGCCGACGCAGCCGACCATGGAGCCCTTCCCGAGCAGCTTGATGCCCGAGGCGATCGGCAGCGCGAGGAGGGAGAGGAGGAAGTCGACGACGTCCTTGCGTGCCTCGGCGTACAGCACGCGCTGCGCCTTGGTGTCGATCAGGAGTGTCATGCTCATCAGATCGCTACTTGCCTTTTGGCTGGTTGTTTCAGAAGCCATTTTTGCAGTAGTTGCAGTGTGCAGTGGCCTGCGTCTGAACTCTGAAGTCGAAGTCTCGTTTTGCCTGCTGCATTCTGGAATTTACAGCGTAACAGACGAGAGCATCGAGGTTCACGGGGAAGAAGAGAGTAATTTATTTGCAAATTAACCGCTCATTGTGAACTTTAATTCCTAATCAATCAATGCCGTTTACTCCATTGCCATGCATCGATCGCACTGCTTGAGGCCTTGATGCTGATCGGTTCAGCTCCATCATGCACAATACCAATCGGTTCAGCTCCGTAAAATTGAACCTGAAACACAATGCAGGCCGGATACACCAGTCCGTCCATCATCCATGCGCCTAACCGGCTGCTATACAAGCAAGCAAGCATATTCACGCGGACCCAAAATATAATGATTTTTAGTGTTTAAAAACATCTCTAAAAAATCATCCATCATTTAATTTTTATCCAATTTTACCACTAAGGAAAGTACAGTAAACCAATATCCTTCTTGTATAATAAGGATTGCCATGTTGGATTTGGATTTGAGCTACGATTTGTGAATTTTCATAGCTAACTATTGGCTATAATATCAAACTTCTTGTAACCATCCTTATAAAATGAGGGTCATTAAATTATTTTTCTTTATAATTAGTTACATAAAAAAACAAAGATTCTTATTTTAGCCCCTCCATTCAAGTTTAGAAACGTGTTTCCCTTTTGCACAAAGACTAAGAACGTAGCAAAGTGGACTGAATAGCACTCAATTAGTTAGTGTCTTAATTAGTCATACGGTGAATACTGGTAGTACGACGTGCATGGATAGATTCTCAATGCAATGAGCTGTTAGGAAACGCTAAGCGAATAAACGATAAAAAATAATAGATCAATCGTAGAAGACACGAGATTTAACGTGAAAAATCCTTTTAAAATAGGAGAGAAAAAACCACGGGCGCCAGCCAGCAAAATATATTCACTATATCTGAGGTGAGATTACATCGCCGCACGGCGGCTTACAAGAGGTACATATATTGTGGAACCCTGAAAGGGATCAAGCCTCCCGGCGACGGGCCTCCGCTCCACTACGGTAGAAACTGGCCTTTATTAAATGCAAATGAATTTGTATCAACATGAGCAAATGACCGTGGTGCCAAAGCGATCGCGTGAATGTGAGATACGATCAACTGCACTGGTAGCGATAAAGAGAAGATTGAACGCACTGATTCTAGTCGTCCGTTCAGCGAAAAGCCCATCTGGTTTACCAGTTGGCACAGCCTAAATTAAATCACAACCCATTGATAGCAATTACGGGCCAGGCCCATCTCTCCATCAAAAGCTCAAGGCCATCTGTGATTTTGTTCTATAACTCGTACAGAAGACATCACATAATCAACACCAATGTATCTTGCCTAACTAGGTAATAAGTAGCAGGGCTAAGTAGTAGGTCTTTATAAAGTGGGTCCCACGAGAAAAAAAATATTGCTTTTTAATTGCTTTTTGTCCAACTCAGCATGCAGTAGTAGCACATCTTGTGTTGGAAGGAGAGAGTGAAAGAGATTTTAATGTTTTTTTATTCTTATGAGTGGGTCATAAGCTTACTACCTAGCATTAGTTACTACCCACTTTCACAATGCTTATTACTAGGTCATAGGAATATTATATTGCCTAATACCTGCTTTTTCCTAACATTGTGGATGCCCTAAGAGTTTCAAATCGACTGGTCACGCTTGCGGCTTGCCAGCAAGCAAAATAAACAACAAGAGAAGGACCAACACAAATGGCCATTTCTTCCGCTTCTTGCCAAGGAAAACATCTGTAAGCACCGTCTTCGACTGCAGCGACGCCTTCAGCATAGCCAAACCCTGCAGTACAGTGTAAAACAAAATGGTTAATAAAACACAAATCAAAATGTACCAAAACTTCATATGATAACAACCTCAGTGTAGCCGATCTGCACGGTCTTCTCCTGGAGCGACTTGATGTGAGTGACACCGGATTTGACCAGCGCGATGGTGGACATGGGCGCGACCTTGAGGTCATCCATGACGGCGTATGTCACCAACCCCTGCACAAACCCCGTGCCTGCGATTGCAGACGGCGCACTCGCGGTCGCCGGCACCTCGCCGCCGGTGGATCCAGCAATGGTGGTGCTCGACACCATCACATGCTTCACCGGCAAACTCATCTTGCCGCTGCACTGCGGCAACTGACAAGGCAAGCCACTCACCGTGGAGACGTAGTTGCAGCAATCACCGAACCTACTCGCGCTGCCCCGGTAAAGCTCCGTGGAGGCCGGCGGCGGCGCCGCCGCATTGATCTCCGGCAGGTGGAGAAAATTATGAAAAAAATTAAAAAGACAAGTCGCGCATAAAGTATTAATTATGTTTTATCATCTAACAACAATAAAAATACTAATTATAAAAAAATTTCATATAAGACGGACAGTCAAACGTTGGCACGGAAACCTAGGGTTTGCTTTTTTTTTGGGACGGAGAGAGTAAAGTGCTAATGCTAACATTTCGTCATAGATAGGTGTTGTTCTGAGACAAATTTTTTGAACGAACAACGAATTTTACAACCACACGAGGAGAACGTCCATGTATGTGCACATTTCTACTAGTGACACGTGCTAAATACTGTTTCTAGTATTTAAAATTAGATGCGCAGATTAACACTCTCATTATTATTTAGTTTGTTTTCATTAGGAATTTACTGTTTCCAATAGGAAAATTAATTCGTGAGACTTGCATATCTCTTAAACATGTGTTGAAGGGGGCCAAAAAACTTCAAATTTTTAAGACGAATACTACTGGTGCGTTACAAAATTCGCGTGAAGTACGACGTTGGCTACTTTGCTGATCTGATCAAATTGGCCTCGATTCCTCAAACCAGCATAGGACCAGCGGTGTGCAGTCCGCCTCGCGCCGAGGAAGACATCGGTGAGCACTGTCATAGACCGCAACGACGCCTTCAGCCACACTTAAGCCAAAATCTCTAATACCGATTGCAGGGTTAGAACCCTTGCTATTGATTGGGCCACGTGGCATCACGCATAGCTCACGACCAGATTCTCGGCTGGAGAACATGCCACGCATTCGAACTGTCCCATAGCCGTCCGATTACATACGAACGGTGAGAAAAGGCCTAGCGGACCTAAATATAAATTGCAAGTTTTAAGAAGGGTTTTTAACAAAATGCACAATCTTATCTAGAACAGTCCAGAGTATATGAAAAAAGACCCAGAATCAGAAAAAAAAAAATCCAGCAAGAACAATATACAGTATTCCCCTTTCCTAATCACCATGCCGTCGCGTAGATGGCAAATACGGGGACGATGAGCTCGAGCTCGATTGACCTGGTGCTCCTTGGCCCCGCCCTGCCTTGATCCGTGCGAGGCGACGATGCGCCTAGACGATACGGGGGAAGCGAAGGATCCGACGACGGAGTTGTAGACGACATTGGAGGGAGCCCGCTGAGATAGAGAGCGCCATAGGGGATACCTCCGCGCTGGTCCTGGAGCTTGACGGCCCGCGCGGGGCCTTGATACGCGCCTGCTCACCAGCTAGCGCTGCCTCATATAGACGAGTAGGGACGGCGGCGGAGGTCCACGCCGTCGCTACATCCGCGGGGATCAGCTCGGCTCAACGCCACCCTGCTTGTCGCCGGCTTCCTTTACCGCCTCTGCGATCAACCGCTCGCATCGTCTCCTCGATATCCTCCTTGCCGCTTCTGCCACCATGGCCGGTCGCACCGCCCCCTCGACCCTTCCGCCACCACCGCGACCTCACCTCATCGCCGAGCCGCTCGTCGCCGGAGATCGGAGGCGGAGACAACGGAGTTGGTGGTGGCAGGACGGCCGGCAGTCAACCCGATGGCGGGGCCTCCGGCTCACTCTTAACCCGCTGCCGTTCGACCACGCCACCTCCGCTGCCTCCGTGATGCATGCAGAGCTGGCCAGCTTGAAGCCTTGAACCCAGTGACCAAAGAAGCCAGTTACCTCTTGCATTTGCAAGCGGCCTCACCCATCAGTTCTTTCTCAGCGCAAATCCATGCTGGAAAGTGGAAACTGAAAAGCACAAGCCACAACAATAGTAGCGCAGTAGGTGCAGTACAGTGGAGTACGAGAGAAGAAGAGTGAACTGGGATTGAAAGCAGAGGTGGGTTCTCAAAAAAAAAGAAAGCAGAGGTGGACGACGGGGCATATGCATGCATGGAGCACGTCACTGCTCCCAATTCCCAATGGCCACCTGCTAACTTACACGTGCCATCAACTCCTAACAAATTTTCTTTTTCACCCCTAATAATATTTTTTTATTCTATACTTCACTAAATACAAAATATTTTAAAAAATGCCCCTAGGTTAGTACTCATGTATTTATGTTTAGGACCTTAGAAGTTTTGACTTTTCAAGACTTGTTTGTCTGTCTGAGTCTGAATCGTCTGATGTACAAAGAGTAACATAAACATATTATGACTCTATATTGAGTTGATGATAGGAGTCATTTACTTAAAAAAATATGCATTCTAAATTTTGTAATTTTCATGTAATTTGATAAATTTTGTAAATCCTACTAATTTAAAAGACATATCTTCCAAAGTAGTATTTGTTAAAGGCATACAGATACACTTAAAGAAGTTAATTATCCGTTACAAATCTTTTTTAAAAAGTTGAAATATAATTATTCACCGGACAAGTACTGCTAGCTAAATACGACACATAAGAATTAGCCAGGCATAAACTAACCATATTTACTCTTATTGTTGACAATATTGTTATAATTGTATTCTATTTTATCTATGATTAGCTAATCAACCTGACAATCTCTATATTGTGAGATAAATATAGGTGGAGGGTATATCATATACTGACCATATAGGTAAGTAGGTGGCACTAATAGTAAACAACCTTAAGCTTTCAGTCCTCTAACCATATCTAATCATACCAATTATAAATATATGTTATTTACTCTGTCTAATGGAAGAGAAAAAAGGTTTGAAAGTAAATAGGCAAGTATTACAAATAAAATAAAATAAAGTTTTTTAAATTTTTTTTCCGTAGTAATGCTTTAACAAAGCTTAAAATCTTTATATGAATAGGGTTACTACAGGTTAATTGTTCCTCAACCTTTTCAAAAGTCATTAAATAGTTTCTTCTAAATGAACAAGTGTATATATTTTTTTCTAAAAAAAGTAAAATATTGCATTTGAAACTCTTAACAGCAACAACAATAACTATTATAAATATGTAAATATGTACTAGCTATAAGTTGGTTTTCCAACGGGCACGCTGATTTTCTTGAATAGGAAAGCAGGGAATTGGAAAAGACTATAGAAGGAGGATTTGGGGAATGTTTAAGTTTGTTGCCACTTTCAATCTTACCGAATTTTGGCATTGCCAAATTTTGGTAGTAAACACACTTCAACTATTACGATGTTACCCAATTTTGGCAGTTCCAGAAGCTCTCTCTTAAAGGCATCAAAATGTAGTAAAGGCATCAAACCAAACAAAGCGAATGTTACCAAAATTTGATAATACCAAAATGTGTTAAAATTCGACATTACTAAAATTTGATATGGTCAATTTTTCAAACAAAGTGTACAAACCATTTATATCTATTTCCGATTCTAATTTTTAGGGTGTTCAATGAAAAATGTTGGACTACTTATTATCGAAACCATTCCTAAGCCATTATGCATTATTGGGTAAGTTGAATGTAAAATTTTGTGATTATGTAGCCTTTTTTATATATATACAAATTTAGTTATGATCAATTCGTAATTACCAGGCTTCATAATTAACAGTGTACTGGGTTCATGTAATTGAGCTGGCCTATGTATACTAAGGCGTGGCAAAGCCGCGGTTATTTTCTAGTGTATATCAGAAATTAATCTCTATTGCAAATATCTAAAATTAAGTCGATCACCTGTAAGTAGCCGACCTCGACGGTCTTCTCCTACAATTCCCTGATGTCCATCACGCCAAGCGCCACGAGGGCGGCGATGGCGGAGACGGTGGACGACGGCGCGACGGTGAGGTCATCCATCACTGTGTACGTCACCTTGCCGGGGTTAAGCCGAATAGTACTAGTTAGAGCAAATAATAGTATAGTCCACTACTAGCTCCAATTTATCTATAGTCAATCTAATAGCTAATTCATACAATAGTTGCTTACTATATTATTAATATATTGTCCCACCTGTCATACACACATTACATTTTGGAGTTCGTGCTGCAGCTGGCTACAGATCTATAGCCCGCTGCTCTTCTCTCTCATCGTTTATCTCATTAAAATATGTTTACAGCTGGCTAATAGTCTGCTATTGTACCTGCTCTTAAGCGGGCCTGACCTATCTCTCCCTGGATACCCCAAGGCCCATATGTTCCTATTCAGGCCCCCTTTGATTCAAAGGAAATTCATAGGAATTTTAAAGGATTTTATTCCTGTAGGAATTTTTCCTATATAGCCCTTTGAATCAAAGGAATGAATACTATGGAATCCTATGAAATTCCTATGGAATACCTTTTCCCATGCAAGTTTTGGAGGAAATTTAGCATGAGGTAGAACCTCATATTAAGAATCCTTTGAGTCTTTATCTCTCCTTAAATTCCTGTGTTTTTCTTACGGTTCAATCAAACGGTCATTCCTATGTTTTTCCTGTGTTTTGTAATCCTCTGTTTTACACTTATATTCCTGTGAGAATCCTATGTTTTTACTATTCCTCTGATTTTTCATTCCTGTGATTCAAAGGGTCGATTTTGTTCCGGAACCGGTACAGATGATTGAAGAACATACGATATCAATACGTGACAAACTGACAATAGAACGGCAATAATTCATAGAGTTCGGAACTCTCACTCCCCGGCACATAAAACAAAGTAGCGTTTAGTGCGTGATTAATTATGGTTTAGCTATTTTTTTCATACATGGAGTATAATTTTATAAGTAACTTTCGTATAGAAACTTTTTGTAAAAAAAAAAGTACCGTTTAGCAGTTTGAAAAAGTGCACATGAAAAACGAGGAAGAAGAGTTGTGAACGGCTGGGAACGAACGCATCCTAGATCGACTGACAAAAGCACCACCAACACATAAGATAGCTCAATGGCCGGACAAGGAACATGAACGTTCCAACAAAAGCAAACGAGGCTCCCGCGCAGGCGATCACATCACATCAGGCCTTCCTCTTCTTGCCAAGGAAGACATCTGTGAGCACCGTCTTCGACTGCAGCGACGCCTTCAGCATCGCCAAGCCCTGCAATAGTGTTGTACAAAATTGACAAACAGATCGGAACAGAGAGATGAGAGTACGCACTGCAAGCAATACACATTGCTCGTAGAGAAATAGTAGCACTTTACCTCAGTGTAGCCAATCTGCACGGTCTTCTCCTGGAGCGAGGTGATGTCAGTAACACCGAAGGTGGTGAGCAGCGTGATGCCGGAGATGGTGGACATGGGCGCGACCCTGAGGTCATCCATGATCGTGTACGTCACCACCCCCTGCACAAATCCCGTGCCGGCAACAGCATATGCTGGTTGCGCCGCCTCGCCGCCGCTGGCCGATCCGGTAGCTGTAGTGCTCGTGCTCGACACCACAAGCTTCATTGCCACCGTCATCTTGCCAGGGCATCGAGCGATCTGACAACGCAAGCCACTCACCGTGGAAACATAGTCATAGCACTCGTTGTAGTCGCACGAGCTGCAGCGGTAAAGTTTCGTGGCCAGCGGCGCCGCCGTCTCCGGCAGCTGGAGGAGCTTGCCGGTGTCGAAGCCACCGGCCGGCGCGAGCAGCACGTTCCTGGCGTCGGCGGAGCGGACGTAGGTGGCGTCGAGGTCCTCGACGCTGGCGTACAGCTCGCCGATGGAGCCGACCATGGAGTCCTTGGAGAGAACCTTGACGACGGTGCCGACGGGGAGGGTGAGGAGGGAGAAGAGGAAGTCGACGACGTCCTTGCCGGCCTCCGCGTACAGCACGCGCTGCGCCTTGCTGTCCACCAGCAGCTTCATGCTCAGCGCCTTCGAGCTGGTTGTCTCCGTCGCCATCGTAGCAACTAGCAAGTGCTTGTGGCTAGCTTGGATTGGCTTGCTGTGTGAGCAGTAGAATTTATAGCGAGCAGAGACGAGCAGGAAGGATTACGGACGAGAGGAGAGTAATTAGCCGCCCACTGTAAATTTTCTTGATCGATCAAGCTTTTTTGCATGCAAAAATTGCAGTCCCAATATATGCGCGCATGTAGACGGTCAAATTAATACCGATCGGTTCAGCTCCGCCGCACGTAGTATCAGCACTTGAATGAATCACCCATTTATGCGAGGCAACCGAAGCATCATGAATGCGACTACCGGTGCGTAGAGGAGGTTAATTTGAAAAGAACCAATAATTTGTTTTTTTTTTGCGAGATGTAGAAGTTGAATTTAAACTTGCATGTTTATGAAGTGATATATCACATGTTAATACGTCTTCTTTTTTTTTTCAAATTTATTTAAGTGACATGCAAATAACGAGATGATATCCTCTCGAGGGATAAAAATCCACTCCCCGAATTATGAAATCACTTTTCCTAATAAAAACTTTAATGACTATTTAGGTGTCACGCCCGGAATTTCTATCCAAAATTCCAAACGCTTACATGTGTGTGAACCCTTGTCCAGGAATCAGCCGAGGCACACAATAACAAATTGATAATAGAGTACAATTATTACTCTAATTAATAAGCGAATAAAATGTCATTACAGAGGTAGATAGTTCCTCTCAATCAATAAAGATCTAAGCAGCGGAAAATAAGATAAACGGCGCAGACGGCTCCACTCCACAGGCAGCTTGACCAAGGCTACACCTAATCCTCCACACCATCAGCATCATTGTAGAACTCTTCCTCTAATGAATGATTGCAAGGTGAGTATATGACATACTCAGCAAGCCACGCAGCAAATATGTAAGTGCACATGATAACAAAGGATGGCATAGTAGGGTTTCATTTGCAAAAGCAGCATTTAGCAAACATTTGAGAATTTAATAAAACAGTTAAGTATTAAACAATATTTGTCGGTGATATGGGACCAGGAGTATCATGACCAGAGGCTTGAGGCAGACGCAATCGCCCACGTGGCCTGGCACCTTCGGGGACGTCGGGCCCGAGGGTGAGGTGTCCGCCCTCCTCCTGATTTCCCCCGAGGGGGGGTCGGGTTACGCTTGCCCCGGCCCCGAGGGCCGAGGCACCCCGACCCCTTAAAGAAGTCTGCGCCACATGTATGGGATAAGTGAGCACAGCTGTGCTCACCTAACAGCATTTATTACAGTCTGGTCAAGCGTGTCACGCTGCATGTAACGCAGTACAGCACGCTCTTTTATCCGGTCTGTGACCAGTCACAGACCGGTCAGATCAAGGGTTAGGTGGCGACTGGCGGTCTGACGCGCGCCTTGCCCCATCCCGTCAAGACGAAAGCCTCTAGGCAACTCGTCTCAAGCCGGAGCTAGCGTGTTATCTCTTAGAGATGGCACGTTAGCCCTGGTTAGATTTATACCAGGCTTCATCCTAACCATTACAGGCAAGGTGTTACACGAAGAAGGGCAAACATGCATCTTGTTAAACTGACACATGGTGGACAAAAGTGACCAGTCTGACACTGGTCGCGTCAGCAACGGGCAGCCACGATCCCACGTTGTGCCCGTCTCCGCCGGGAGTGGAGGTAGGTGTGGGCTGTCCCATCGAAGTGTCATTCGAACAGCAACCATACCAATCTCCGTCCATAAAGAGAAGAAAAGTCCAGTTTGGAAGGAGGAGGGTGCATGTGGTATCCCCTTGAAGTATAAAAGGAGGACCTTGCCCATAGAGAAGGGGGTTGGTTGATTCTTTTCCAGATTTAGAGCTTAGAACGGGGGAGAAGTTGGCTGACACTTGGTAGCTCATTCATACACCAATCCACAAAAACACAGGAGTAGGGTATTACGCTTCCCAGCGGCCCGAACCTGTATACATCGCCGTGTCTCGTGTTTCTTCCTGGCACGCGATCTTTCCACACACAGCGAGAGCTTGAGATCTCACCCTAAGCCCCCGGCCGAACTGGCAAAGGGGGGCCTGCGCGGTCTCCCGGTGAGGAGCCACGAGCTCCGTCATCTGGCGCGCCAGGTAGGGGGCTCAGTGTGTGTTTTCTGAGCTCTCATACTCTTCCGTGTGCGCCAAGTTTCCCTTGTTCTGCCTAATGGCCGAGCAAGCAAAGGCGCACGACCTCTCTCCGAGTGTGAGCGGCGACGACGGGGAGCCAAACCCGCGCCGTCGAGCTCGTACTCCCCCACCTCCTCCACGCCAAAGTCCTAAGCAGGGGGAGGCGCTCGAGAGGGTTGATAAATCCGCAGCATCACCGGTCGTGGGTGATGCAGGAGAACGGCGAGATGGGGAGCGTCGCCTCCTCGTCTACGGCGACGGCAGCACGCCTCAGGGCGCGCTTCAGGCTGCTAGCGCGCTCCTACGTCACCCACCCGTCGTCCATGACCCTGAGTCTCCAGCTCAGCGATGGCTGGACGACGTGGCCAACTTGGTCGTGACGGCCCAGCAGCGCCTGGGTGCTGGTGGACGGTCCGCCACCACCAAGACTTCCGGCGCCGCCACCACCGGTTCCGTGTCATCAAGGCGGAGGGCGCGGCGAGCGGCGGCGGCTGCACGTCATTCGGCTGCCACTCCCTCGTCGACACCTTCGACTCGGGAGGATCAGCATGAGGAGCCGGATGCCCGCCTCAACATCGAGCGCCGGCGTAATAGCCGGCGTACTCCCCGTGCAACGGAGGGCGCCTCCTCGTCCAGAGTGTCACCTCGACATGGACGTGAGGACCAGCCCTCCGTGCCCCCGGCTGGTGGTGTCGGCTGTAGAGCCTTTGTGGCGAGTCTTCGGAATGTCCGTTGGCCCCCAAGGTTCCGGCCCACCATCACCGAGAAGTATGATGGGAGCGTCAACCCCACCGAGTTTCTCCAGGTCTATACGACCGGGATCGAGGCCGCTGGGGGAGACGACAGGGTCATGGCGAATTTCTTTCCCATGGCCCTGAAGGGACAGGCACGGGGTTGGCTAATGAACCTGCCACCCGCGTCGGTCCACTCCTGGGAGGATCTGTGCCAGCAGTTCACCATGAACTTTCAAGGCACTTATCCACGCCCAGGTGAAGAAGCGGACTTGCACGCAGTACAGCGGGGGGATGATGAATCCCTTCGCTCGTACATTCAGCGTTTCTGCCAAGTCCGCAATACTATACCTTGTATCCCTGCACACGCGGTGATCTACGCGTTCAGGGGGGGTGTGCGGCACAACCGCATGCTCGAAAAGATTGCCTCCAAAGAGCCCCAGACTACCGCAGAGCTTTTTCAGCTCGCGGACCGAGTGGCTCGTAAGGAGGAGGCCTGGACCTGGAACCCCTCCGGTTCCGGTGTGGCAGCTTCGGCCGCCCCCGGATCCGCCGCTCAGACAGGGCGGCGTGACAGGAGGAGGAAGAAAAGGTCGGTCCATTCCGGCGACGAGGGTCACGTCCTCGCCGTCGAGGGCGCTCCGCGGGCCACTCGAAAGGGGAGGCCTGCGTGCGACAAAAAGAAAGAGGCTGGTACTCCCAGCAGGGAGCGCCCCGCCGGCAGGTGGTGCTCCGTCCACAACACCTCCCTCCACGATCTCGCGGACTGTCGCGCAGTCAAAAACTTGGCTGAGCGAACGAGGAAGTGGGAGGAGGACAGGAGGCAGGAACGCCGTGAGGACAAGTCCGCGGCAGTTCCCTCCGGTAAACGGCGAAGTGAGGCCAGACAGAAGGCCCCCGCCGTTGACCCCGATGACGGTGATGATGACCTAGGTTTCCAAGAACCTGGGGCCACCATCGCCACTGTCGACGGGGGAGCGTGTGCTCACGTTTCTCGCCGGAGCTTCAAGGCTATGAAGCGAGAGCTTCTGGCCGCGGCCCCTACTCATGAGGCGACGCGTCGGGCGCGGTGGTCGGAGGTGGCCCTCACCTTTGATCAGACCGACCACCCACCGTGCGTTGCCCGGGGAGGGCAGATTGCGATGGTGGTTTCCCCCACTATCTGCAATGTGAAGTTGGGGCGTGTCCTCATAGATGGAGGAGCGGCTCTCAACATCCTTTCCCCCGCGGCCTTTGATGCTATCAAGGCCCTGGGGATGGTGCTCCGACCGTCCCAGCCAATTATCGGTGTGACGCCGGGGCACACGTGGCCATTAGGTCACATCGACCTACCGGTCACCTTCGGTGGACCCGCCAACTTCCGCACGGAGCGGGTGAGCTTCGATGTGGCGGACCTCAGTCTGCCCTACAACGCGGTCCTAGGGAGGCCCGCGTTGGTGAAGTTCATGGCGGCGGTCCACTACGCCTACCTCCAGATGAAGATGCCGGGCCCCGGTGGCCCCATCTCTGTCCGTGGCGACCTTAAAGTCGCGCTCGCTTGCATGGAGCAGCGCGCGGACCACCTCGCTGCTGCGACCAAGCCCGAGGGTGGTGACGAGAGGCTTGGCACCTCCGCCCCCACCGCCCCGAGGCAGCGGATTGCCACATGCGACGAGGTCCCGGTCAAGGAGGTTGCCTTGGGCGACGGCCCATCCAAGACCACACGGATCGGTGGTCTTCTGGATGGCAAATAGGGAGACGCGCTCGTCTCCTTCCTGCGGGCAAACGCTGACGTCTTCGCATGGAGACCAGCGGACATGCCCGGGGTCCCCAGGGAGGTGATTGAGCACCGTCTCGCCGTGCGGCCGGGCGCAAGGCCGGTCCGGCAGAAAGTGCGGCGGCAGGCCCCAGAACGTCAAGCCTTCATCCGCGAGGAGGTGGCGAGACTTCTGGAGGCCGGATTCATCCGTGAAGTCATCCATCCGGAGTGGCTGGCGAACCCGGTGGTCGTTCCCAAGGCGAACGGCAAGCTTCGGATGTGCATCGACTACACCGACCTTAACAAGATTAAGTTGATCTATACAAAAGAGGCATGAAGGCCTTAGAAGAAAGAAAAAGAAAAAATCAAAGATTGACGGGGGCTCGGGGGCTCATTCCGACGCGCCCG